CGAATGTAACATATAATATGCCCTACATGTACTTGCTCCCAAATCTGCTCAACGTATAATACGTCCATATTTTACTTCAATATCTTCATCTTTGAAGCCTCCAAACAAATCCATCAAAATGTTGACAATACTAAAATCAGTAGTGCTCTTTTAATGGGAGTTCATAATTAAAGGATTTGAAGGGTAGTTTTTTCATTTAATAAGTTTATTCAATGACAAATTATGATGGGATTATTATAGGAAAAATTGTGCATTATAGCAAATTATTAATTCAAAATAAATGTTATAACTACAGTTTTATTTAATTCCAATTCACAGCGAACTCTCTTGTCATTCGCCTCTCTCCCTGAATCTCGCTCGTCACTCTCCCTCACCTCTCTCACTTTATACAAACACAAATGTATAAATTGTGTTTGTGTTTATGTTTGTCTAAAGCGAGAGAGACTGTATATACAAATACAAATCCATAGCTACTTGTCTTATACACTTATAATTATACAAATACAAATCGTCCCCTGCCCAGTTCTCTTTTGTCTTTCTCTCTCTCACTTTATACAAACACAAATTATACAAAATACAATGTATAAGTTTTTTTGAATAAAGCGCGAGAGAGATTTGATATACAAATAGAAATGTTTTAACTCGATTCAATTATATACAAATTCAAATTTTATGCAGATATACAGATACAATCATTGATACATATACATAGTAGTTACATATATACAACTAGGTAAATTACCCGTGCTTCACACGGAATTGAACTATTTTATTAAGCTTATGTATGATCATTCGGTAATATTCGTATTTTTGATACATACACTACATTGTCAAGAACATTTTATCTCAAGGCAAAGCGTTCCTCCGAAATTTTAAAGTGCTACATTTTTTTAATTTTCTTTTTTGTTGCACAAAAATTATGAATCATAGAGAGATTTTAAGTATAAGAAAGAAGTCTAAGAAAATCTCCATGGAAATAGTTCTTTAGAAGTAACGAAATTTTCTAAATTCCAAAAAGTTATAAAGAACAACATCAGCCGTTAAAGAAGAGACCAAAAAGCCTCGAACAATAACACTACCAAGTAAAGTGGAACATCACGTCCATACAAGAACATAATTAACTAAATTAAAATGGAGGACCTTCGGCTCCTTTCTGATGAACCTCCATCAATCTCTTTATTATTATAGTATGTTGCATCATGTATATGTCAAAAATGACCCTAAAATTGGTAATATCATAAAGGTTTTTCCTCATTGTCTCATAATAGTCATTATTATTGCTTAGGTTTCATATCATCTGCCCCAAGTTATTTGGAATTGAACCATAGTTACTATTATGGTTATAGTATGCAGTTACAAAGAATTAATGTAATGATCAACCTAGCAGTAGGTTGCATTTGAATGAAATTATTCACAACTGGATATTCTGAACCAAAATTTTGATACATAACATATTAAAATCTCACAGCATAATTTTGTGAGTACTTGAACTCACAAATATACACAAATAATAATAAAGACGACCTTACTTTCCTAACAATCAAGAAGATAAAGGCATGTTGCTTAACATAATTTTCAAAAAGATAGTATGTCGGGTTGTATCCAAATTTACAGTTCACAAATTTAATTGAAAGAAGCCAAAAGAAAGAGTTATCACTATAGCAAAAATGATCTTTAATGACAATTAATAGCTTAATTACCGCTAAATATATATTTTAAGAGGCAATTAGTACTCTCTATACATGTCTCTGAAGTTTATAGTGACATTGAATCTAATGAAAATTAATTAATATCTGTAAAGGCTCTAGAACTTTTCGTTAATGCACATATTTATTGTCGATAAAAAATATTTTTGTTATAGTTTATTTTGGACATCTGTTAGTTTCTAGAAAACTTGATCTCTTATCATGCTCAAAAAGAAGAAAGGGAAAAATATGGCAAATTAGTCAACTTGCGATAAAAGAAGTGGAATAATTATTTCTATACTAATATTCTAGGAAGAGTGAAATGACATACAAAATGTTTGTACCTAAGATAAAAACAATCAAAATAATATACTAACTGTGGCGAGTAAGAGAACAATCTATTTGGTTCTTTTAACAAACTTCACCATTGGTTCCGTATTAGTTATCACATATATATTTGTTGTTGTGTGCTATCAAATATAGCACAACCCACAAACAATTTTCGCAAAAAGTATATGAAGAAGCATGTAGAAAGGAACAAAGAGAAGATTAATTTTCAATCATCCTAACTAGGATTTTTAACAGAGTTCAAACAAGTCACCAAAATAGCAAAAAGAAATTGCAATAGTTACATGAATCACTATGACTTACATTAAAAGATTAAGTTTCATGAAATAGGAGGAAGAAAACTTTGACGAATGAAACGCACTTCATAAGAAGCTTAACTAATATATTTGAATTTGACTCCCCTAGAGCGGAAAAAACCTATAAATAATAGTGGCAGAAATAGAAGTTTTGTATACTGAAGAACTAAATGTTATGAATTCAACCATTCCAACAGCGTTATGAGTTGTGGACTGAGAGGCGCAAGAGTAATAATATCGCATTGCAATTGAAATCATTTTTTTTGTTTATTCTTTCTTCTTTCGGTGTCTTGGAATTAAGTGTTGGATTTTAAAATGTGTGAATGAAAAATGAAGAATTGTGACTTTTGTGAAGAGTTGTGATTTTTGTGAAAAGTTATGACTTTTTTGTAAAGTTCTAACTTTTCAAAAGAGTTGTGAATTTTATGAAAATTATGACTTTTCTGTAGATTGTGACTTTTAAGAAGGGTTAAATAAGAATAGTCGCAACTTTTCATAAAAGTCACAACTTTTCATGAAAGTCACAACTCTTCATATTTCATTCAAAGCTCTAATAAATGGCATTGACCCTCAATCTATGTTGTACCACCCCTAGACAAAAAAATTATTAACTCAAATCACCAAAGGTAAAGTAAGATTATCGAGAAATGGTAAACTAATGCATGGAACAATGCAAGTATACATAGGATTAAAGGAGAAGAATTCACAATTTCAAAATTAAAAAGAAAATTCTCAAGGTATAACTATTATATAATCATGGGAAAAGGGACGGATTTACCCTCGAACTTTAATAAATGGTACGTATATGCTCTCCGTTATACTTTGCGTCCACATATGCCCCTGCCGTCCAATTATAGGTACACATATACCCCTCTCACTAACGGACCCCTAATTTCTTACACGTGTCTTAACCCTATTGAACTACCCGTTTGATCCTTTTTTTTTAAACCCATAACCCAACTATCCGCCCCATAACCCAATACCCACCCAATTTCCTCTAAAAAGATCCTAATTAAAACATCCAAATTGACACACCAAAATCCGTCCCTTTTCCCTAGTCGGAGGTCCCCGCGTATTTCACACACCAAAACCCTAGTCGTCGCTGCGATTCCAGTTTGTCTTCGTCGATTCCACCTTGTCTTGTCGAATCTTTCGTGTGTTCTTCGATTCAACTTGTGTTCGTCAAAGGTACCCAAATATCCCATTCAATTTCATAGTTTTCTTGTTTTGCTGTTTTCGATTTGCTTTCATATATAGTAAATAAATCTGTTGTTGCTGTTTTTCCGGTAATTTTCTTGTTGTTTCTTTATTTATTGTGTAAAATATGCATTTTATAGTGAAAATCTTTCTAGGGTTCACGTTCTAGTTATTGGATTAAAGATTTATTTATTTTTTGTTTTATGTGTAAATGAAGTACACTTTATAGGGTTTCACTTCCAGAAAATGAAGTTCACGTTTCAGTTTTTGTGTTAAAGAAATGTTTTTTTTGTTTGTATGTGCCTTTATGTTGTGGACCTTTAGTTTATGATTTGTTGGTTTGGTAAAGTATAGTTTCAACTTAACTAATTGACTTACTTAATCCTAATGTGACTTATACTCACTGTTACTTATTTACTAATTAACTTACTTATTTATGCTTACTAATTGACTTTCTTAACTCAATGTGACTTAATTAACTAACTTACCTCCTAATGTGACTATCTTACTTTATGTGACTAACTTACTTAATCAAAATGTGACTTACTTAATCCTAATGTGCTTACTAATCCAAATGTGACTTACTTAACTAATATGACTTTCTTAACTTACTCAATGTGACTTAATTAACTAACTTACCTATTTTAATCCTAATGTGACTAACTTACTTTAATCCTAATATGACTTACTTAACTTACTTATTTATGCTTACTAATTGACTTTCTTAACTCAATGTGACTTAATTAACTAACTTACCTATTTTAATCCTAATGTGACTTACTTAACTTACTCATTTATGCTTACTAATTGACTTTCTTAACTCAATGTGACTTAATTAATTAACTTACCTACTTTAATCCTAATGTGACTTACTTAATCCTAATGTGCTTACTAATCCAAATGTGACTTACTTAACTTACTCATTTATGCTTACTAATAGATTTTCTTAACACACTGTGACTTAATTAACAAACTTAATTACTTTAATCCTAATGTGACTATCTTACTTTATGTGACTAACTTACTTAATCAAAATGTGACTTACTTAACTTACTTATTTATGCTTACTAATAGATTTTCTTAACACAATGTGACTTAATTAACAAACTTAATTACTTTAATCCTAATGTGATTAACTTACTTTAATCCTAATGTGACTTACTTAACTTACTTATTTATGCTTACTAATTAACTTTCTTAACTCAATGTACTCACTGTTTTATACTCACTGTTACTTATTTACTAATTAACTTACTTATTTATGCTTACTAATTAACTTTCTTAACTCAATGTACTCACTGTTACTA